ACACAAGCCTAAACCCCCCCCCAAACGTCGGGACGCACCCGGCCATGTATGGGGTCTGTCAACACGCCTGCTACTCCTACGACACGTGCAACCTCAACACAATATCAATCTCCCCTCATACATCGGGACGCACCTAGCCACGTATGGGGTCTGTCAACACGGAAGCTACTTATACGACACGTGCGATCTCAATACAATATCAATCTCCCCTCATACGTCGGGACGCACCCGGCTACGTATGCAGTCTGTCAACACGCCGGCTACTCCTACGACATGTGCGACCTCAACACAATATTAATATTTCCCCTCATACGTCAGGACGCACCCGGCCACGTATGGGGTCTGTCAACACGCCGGCTACTCCTACGACACGTGCGACCTCAACACAATATCAATCTCCCCTTATACGTTGGGATTCACCCGGCTACGTATGGGGTCTGTCAACACGCCAGCTACTCCTACGACACGTGCGACCACAACACAATATCAATCTCCGCTCATACGTCGGGACGCACCCGGCCACGTATGGGGTCTGTCAACACGCCGGCTACTCCTACGACACGTGCGACCTCAACACAATATCAATCTCTGCTCATACGTTTGGACGCACCTGACCACGTATGGGGTCTGTCAACAAGTCGGCTACTCCTACGACACGTGCGACCTCAACACAATATCAATCTCTCCTCATACGTCGGGACGTACCCGGCCACATTTGGGGTCTGTCAACACGCCGGCTACTCCTACGACACGTGCGACCTCAACACAATATCAATCTCTCCTCATACGTCGGGACGTACCCGGCCACATTTGGGGTCTGTCAACACGCCGGCTACTCTTACGACCCGTGTGACCTCAACACAATATCAATATCTCCCCTCATACGTCAGGACGCACCCGGCCACGTACACGCCGGCTACTCCTACGACATGTGCGACCTCAACACAATATCACTCTCCCCTTATATGTCGGGACGCACCCGGCCACGTATGGGGTCTGTCAATACGCCGGCTACTCCTACGACACGTGTGACCTCAACACAATATCAATATCTCCCCTCACACGTCG